CTCTCTCTCTCTCTCTCTCTCTCTCTCTCTCTCTCTCTCTCTCTCTCTCTCTCTCTCTCTGTGTGTGTGTGTGTGTGTGTGTGTGTGTGTATGCAGTACTATGCACACACATCCCTAAAAACAGAAACAAAAATAAATAAAAATAATTTAAATAAATAAATAAATCAGCGCATCGCCAATTTCCGCACGGCACATGGCGCACGCACACCGCACGGCACACCACAGAAGTGCACCGCAAGTATGCTCTATCTGGTTATGCACTATGAGTTGGCCACTTGTTTCGCGCCATGTGGTGTACATGTGGATAAGTTGATAGTTTTATCATCAACTTTTATGTAAGCAATATTTGCCTGGCTGTAGTTTGCAGTAAGACCAGGTGGCACACTGAGCAGGTGGGGTCACAATCTGGTTGTAAAGATGTCACACTTGCCTTTCTGGTAGAAATTCTTGTAGGCCCTTCTGGCAAAAGTTATGAGGGTGCTGATCAGAAGTTTGTACCCAGAGATCAGTTATGAGATGGTTGCGCCCAGCAGTACATAGAGTTAGAGGCAGCATATTGTGAGAGGCTTGTGCCCAGTGGACCAAAGAACGACAGGCAGAAAAATTAATGGCAAGTGCGATTAAAAATGATGACAAGGGGTAGGTGGTTGAAGAGAGGATGAGGAAATGAATGATAAATAGTGGCGTAGACGAGCGGGCAGCAGAGGGAAAACGAGGAGAGCAGGGGCTGGACAGGCGGGGAAAGAGCAGAAAGGGGAAGGGAGCTAGGGTTGCTGCCAAGGAGGTCAGTGTGGTGTAGTCATTTGGGGAGTGCCAGTGGGCGTTTGGGGTGTTGGGAATTTTTCGAGTGGGATGCTGGAAATACAGTAGCGGTGGGAGGGGAAAGAGGTCGGAAGGGGAGGGACTGCCAACTGAATAGTGAATGAAATTTGGAGTGTTGCCATAGTGTTGGGGGTGGAGCCGGGTGTGGCGTGGTGCTGTGGTGGTTGAGGAATCCTGTGGGAATGGTAGGGTGATCAAAGGCCAGGGGGGGTGCCGAAAAAACAATTCAAGCTGTCGAGAAAAGTTCTTCAGGGTGCTGAAGGGGTAACAGAGGGTGTTCAGTTAGTTCCGACTGTGGAGTATGGTCGGGGAGTCTGGAAGTGGACTGTGGAGTATGGTTGGGTTGTCTGGAAGTGGATGCCAGTACTGTTGGTTAGGGTCTGAGGGTGCACTAGGTGCTAATGAGAGTTGAGGTGTGGCAGATGAGTTTGGGAGAAGTTGGGTGGCAGTCAGTGTTGTAAGTTGGTGCAGAGGAGGTAAATTGGGGTAAATTGGGAAATGTCATGGCTACGATCCGGACGTCCGGACCGCCGTCCAGACGGTCTGGATTCAGTCCGGACCCCAGACGTCCGGTCTGGAAGGTCCGAATCTGCCAAAATTCGAGAAAAAAAAAAAACAAAAAAAAAACGGTCCAGGACCCTTCCCGATTGAGGAGCCAAGACCCCAAAATTGTTTTGGGGGTTTTTCAGGCCTGTTTATGATTTTTTGGGGGGTCCGGACATGCTCTCTCTCTATAATAATTTATTAGACAACCCCAAATTTTTAATTATTAATAATTCATTACATTTTATAATTTTTATTAGTTTTTAAAGTCTTTTTTAAAGCTTTTTTATAGTTTTTGACTTGTAACTCAAGTTTGGTTCGGAATTCTGACATGACTCTGAGGCAAAAGTGGTTTGTATTGTTATTCTGCATAACATACTTTTTTTTCAGATTTTTTTATTTTTAAATTTTTAATGGTCCGGACATTTCCGGACCTGCCCAGACATCCGGACCGTCCGGATCCCCCATGTCCGGAGGTCCGGGAATGTCTGGAATTCCGGACGTCCGGAAACTACCGGACACGGGTCCGGTTCCATGTCCGGAAATGTCTGGGTCCGGGTCCGGGTCCGGCGTAGCCATGGGAAATGTTAATGTGATCAAGGGGCGCGGGGGTTGCCAAGAATGCATTTCAAGCTGTCAAGAGAAGTCCTCCAGGGGCTGAAGGGGGTCAGAGGGTGGAGTGCAATTGGGTCATCTAGAGGTGGATGCCAGCACTGTGAGTTAGGTAGGAAGAGGAAGGGACTGCGAACTGAATAGTGAGTCAAATTCAGGGTGTTGCCATTGTCTACAGCGGGCCCACAGGAACGCAACCGTAAGGGCCTATGTTCTTTTTTCTTTTTCTTTGTTTTTTGTTGAGAGAGAGAGAGAGAGAGAGAGAGAGAGAGAGAGAGAGAGAGAGAGAGAGAGAGAGAAAT